TTATCGTTTATTTCTCGCTTTTTTTTCCTTCTTAAGCAACTCATACATCTCGCAAATTCATTTTTCGATCCGACGAAATTTGTCGCATTGTCGTTGTACATACGTTGAGGATAACCTCGGCGTCCGTAAAAGCGTCTAAAACGTCTAAAGGATGATGAACTAGATTCTCTCTTGTTAACCGTTTCAAGATGTACCGCCTTAGTAATGAAACATATATACAAACTGCGATGTATGACTTGCTTGTCTTTACTTCACGCCGGCCTCGATTAAGTAGTGTTTGTTAATCGGTCCGGCAAATCTACTACTTCTCCGTTACGAAAAATGGTCGACTTGGTGTCTCAATCCGCAACAGTTTGTCCCAGGATTGTGACATTTTTGGCTTATTTCGACAACAAATTATACACCTATGTGTAACTCTCCTTGCGATAACTTTTTCCCTTTGCGGTCAATAATTCTCTTCGGATTGAATACAGTAATGCTTAAGGACCGATATGTCAATAATATACTGTGTTCTTTCAAATAGTTTGCGTAAACCTGCTATCCGATGGTAAATTATAGGATGTTTGTTTTCAAAAGCTAATTCGAGTTTTGAATTCTGCCGCCTATCCTAAAGAGTCCCTTTTCATCCATGAAGGGATTAAGTGTTAGTAATTTGCTGCTAACTCGAGTTTGCCAGTTCGTAATTTTGCTATTACTTCTGAAATTCCTGCACCGTCAAAATTAACAACCGATGCGCGTAACTTACTTCTACATTTGACAAGCCTTCGTAATTTCGTTCATCGAAACTTGATTTGACATTGGTTTTTGAAACCGAATGATCCACGCGATAATTCCTCTCGATCTTGATAGCAAAGAGTGATAATTTAATATGATTCTAAATGTGGCCTTCTTGACAAACTCGCAAAAACTCGTTTTTTTGCCTTCTGTTTTGTTTGAATGATTCTCTTGTCTTCTCGATGGAGCCGGTTGCCAACCGCGCTATCTCGCAGTCTCCAAAACGCGACAACCAAGCCAAATCCTCCCACCAACTTTTATTTTGTTTTAAATTTTCCAAAGTAGTGCCCCTCGATATCAAATCCGCCGGGTTTTCACTTCCCCGTCTACGTAATACCAATGCTTCAATGGGAGGATAGACTGTATCTCGGTTACTCGATCCCTCCTAATCTCGTCATACTCACAAGTAACACTACCCAATTGATACTCACCGATTTGAATTAAACTTAACATACTTATTAAACACCGAAGATATTAAATATGTGTTTTTTGTTTCGGCTAAATACGCTTTTTAGGAGTAGAAAACACCCCTCAACTCCTGGAGATGGAAATCGTTATAACTAATTATATTTCTGAAATGATACATTTTCTGAAAAAAGTGCTTAGGACTAAAGTTGTAGAGTTCAAAGTGATGCACTTGATAGCGATCTTGAAGTCGACCTTGAGGTCGAATTTCAAGGTCATTTGAAAATTATTTTATGTTTTTCAAAGAGAGTAGTTTACTTTTCATTCCGAGAATCAATAGAGCGTAACATTTTACATTCAGAACGTTGGTGATGTGAAAATGATGGTTGAAGATATATTCGAACGAAATTCACGAGCAAGATAACTCATAGCAAATAAGTGATCAAGAAGTAATTTTGGAAAATGCTTGCTCAACGACAGTCGGGAAAATAATAATTGATCATATGTCCGAATGAAATCCTAATACAAAATAAAGAGTAAAAGGTATTGTGGAAAACTCCAGAGTAACAATAAAAATTTTAAAAAATTTGAAAATTTCTAATATAGCATGAAGGTAATGTTTAACTTACAATTAGAGTGACAGTTTATGTTTTCTGTTCTTTACTTATATTTTAAAGTTACTTAACAAACTTTTTTCTCCTTATTTTTTCTATAAATTTGCGCCTATTTTCCCATTATGTCAGGTTTTTTCTTTTTTTAGGAAAATAACGCAACAAATCAATTCTGAAGACAGATTTAGAGTTAACGCATAAAATTACTGATTATAGATACAGGATTATAGATACCTTATATTTAAGTCTTATACCAAAAATACTTGTGCTAAATCTTTATATGCTTATCAATTAAGCGGGGTCTACAATGGCAGCAGGAGTACAGAGTACAAGAGTAAGCAGTAAGCAGTACGAAATGGGATTCGCTCATTTTGTCGGGAGTAACAGAATGAACTAATCCCATTTCGTACTGCTCACTGCTTACTCTGTACTCCTGCTGCCATTGTAGATTCCGCTTAATGACTGAGTAGAAAGAAAAATTTAAGGAAATTGAGGAGAAAGTTAATAATATAGAGGGGTATATTGAAGAAAAAGAGGAGAAAGATAGGTTAAGAAAAGAGGAAGAAGAAAAATGGAGGTTAGAAGGGGGAAGGGAAAGTACAGAGGATGAAGATGGGAGGAGCGAAGGAAGTAATAATAGAAGCAGAAATAGAAGTATTATTAGCAAAGGAAGTAATAATAGAAATAGGAGGGTAGAAGTATTATTAGCAAGGGAAGTATAGGAGATTTTTCACTAAGAAGTGGGGCTAGTGAGTTTTTAAATGATAGAGAGATAGATAAGTTGAGAAGGATAATAGCTACTAAAGAAAAAGAGGAAAGAAAGGATAATATAGTAGTAAAGGAATAACAACAGAAGAATTCAAAGGGATGGATTAAGAAATTCTTGAATGAGAAATTAAGTATTAATGTAAAAGTAAAAGGCTATTGGGAAAAGAAAGGAATTTATGCAGTCAAAATGGATAATTGGGAGGATAAAACAAAGGAAAACATGAGGAACAAATATATATAAGTCCCTAAAGGTCACCTAGATCTAAAAGTTTCTTTGCGACACCCCGCTGTGCTTGAGGATTATCCCTGTAAACCTAATCCGGCGTTTTTCGCCAGATTGCACAGGTTGTTTATCCTTTGATTATATAGCTCATCTGGTTCCATGAATGTGGACCCTAGATGTCTATATCTTTTCCAGACAAGGGCTGGACAGCGGCACAGTAAGTGTATGTTCTCCCTGTCCTTCCTGTCTTCGCCACATAGTCGGCATGTGTTTAGCGCAACTAGTTTTAAGTTGAACATGTAAGCCCGGAGGGCCTGTGAGAAGACCGAGTGCAAGTCTCAGTTTCCCCCCAGTGAGAGTCAATGGCTCTTTTGTTCTGCTAGGTGAGGATTGATTAATCGGGATCTTAGCTTGTCTGCATCCTCGTGCGCCCCCTCCCCTTCTCCCAGGAGGCCCGATGTTTGCTTCGGAGCTGTTCCCTGATAACATTTTTGCCCAAGGCAAAGGGGACTCCAACAATTTGTTCGGTTGGTTCCTCAAGGGTACCCGTCTTCGTCCGTCTGCCATTTCATTGCCTTGTATGCCACTATGACCTGGTACCCACATCAAGGTAACCTTGTTGTTTTCCCCAAATCTGTTCAATGCTTGCATGCAGTCCCAAACCAGGGAAGATTCCGTGGAAAGCTTTGCAAGAGCACCTAGGGCTGCTTGACTACCAGAACATATTATGTTCTTGTTGTCTGCTCTGGCAGTAATTTGTATGTTTGTACATTCCAGGATTGCTAAGACCTTAGCTTGAAAGACCGTGGCCAGCTTACCCATAGAGATGCTGATTTTGTTTTCCAACTCAATTTGGGGTCAATGTAGACACCCAAATATTTTATTGAGGAAGCGAATTGAATCTCTTTATTCCAGAACAATAAAGCGCCAATATGTTCTGGTTTGTATTTCTTGGTGAAAATCATAGCCTAGGTCTTGTCCGGGTTTACCGTCAGACCTTTCGCTTTACACCAGTTTTGAACAATCCTCAGTGCTTTGTTCATTAGCTCCTTGAGGATGAAAAGAAAGCCACCTCTCAGTACAATGGCCACATCATCAGCGTAACCATACACCCAGAGGCTGGTTTTTTGTAGTTTAACTAGGAGATCGTCCACCACAAGGCACCGCAGGAGCGGAGATAGAATTCCACCCTGCGGACAACCCCTTGTGGGAAAACCTCTTATAGTCGAATCTCCCTGCCTGACAGTTAGAAGTCTACCTGCCAGCATACTGAGAGTCTAATCAATGATAGCGACCGGTATGTCATGGTCAGCCATAGCCCCCATGATTGCCAGATATGAGGTGTTATCAAAGGCACCTTCGATATCCAGAAATACACTCAGCGCATATCCTTAGACCGTTAATTGAGATTCAATACTACTATGAAGAAATGTAGGGAAGTATCCGTGGATCTGCCCTCTCTGTAAGCATATTGTCCTGAGGATAGGGGCTTAGAGATTAAAGGTCCTGTTTTTAAGAAATCCTCAACCAGTCTCTCCAGTGTTTTTAACACAAAGGAGATGAGGTTGATGGGTCTGAAATCTTTGGCCGTTATGTGTCCATTTCTGCCTACCTTGAGAATAAAGCACACCTAGTGCCGCTCCAAGCTGGTGGAATATGTCTAAAAGCTATACTTGCTCTGAAGATTTTAGTAAGGGGGCCTAGAGGATCCAACTCTTGTTGAAGTAAGGTAGGAAAGATTCCATCCGGACCTGGTGCCTTATAAGGCTTGAAAGAATGGATGGCCCTCTCAATTCCTTTCGGGTATACTACTTTCGCAATCAACGCCCATTCCTTAGGTTTGTAGCCATCCCGGGGTCTGGACTCTTTGGGAGAGGGGTGTTGAAATGACAGGAGTTGAAATCCTGGAAAGTGAGTTTCCATCAGGAGAGTTAATGATTCGGTTGGGTTCTCTGTATAGAGCCCATTAGGGCGTTTTAGACATCCCATGAAAGAGTGACTATCCGAATGTAATATTCTATTAAATCTGGATATCTCCGGGAGGCTTTCAATACTTTCACAGAAGAGTCTCCAGCTTTGTCATTTAGTTGCTGTTATAGCTTTGCTGTATGGCCGTTGGGAGTTCTGTACGTTTCCCAACAGGATGCAGAGCCAGATTTCTTTGCCTTACTGAAGAGTTTCCTAGTCCTCAGCCTGAGCTTCGAGAGCTCCTTGTTCCACTAGGGAACTTTGGAAGTGGACTGGCTCCTCCTCAATGGGCAGTTTGCTTCATAGGCGTCTAGTATGACTTCCTTCATAAAAAGTGCCGCCATATCCAGATCGCCCTTATTGTTAAAGTTGGTTGGGACTGACTTAAAGTTGGCTAACAAAGCCGCCCTGTATCCGTTCCAATCAGTCTTTCTTGGGTTACGTACCCATGTGTCCGTGATGTGACATAGAGTTAGGCAGATCTGTCTGTGATCAGATCCGGAGGGCTCATTAGAGATCCTCCAGTCCGCAACCAGTTCAGCCATCCTCCTTGTACATAGCATGATGTCGATTACCTGTCTTCTGGAGTCCTGGAAGGTAAATTCTGTACCTCTGTTAAGTAAAATGAGGCCAGTACTCATAATGAAATTGTGTAGACTCTCTCCCCTGGAATTGACATCTGAGCTTCCCCATCCAACATGGTGGGAATTAGCATCGCATCCGAGAAGTAAATTCAGTCCACACCTTTCAGCATAGTCAATCACATTTCTGAATTCCGCTTGCGGTGGTGGATTCTCGGAGTCGTAGGGCATGTATGCTGAACCCAATAGTACATCCAGGGATTCCCCCGTCAGCAGGTTGAGCTTAGTCCGGACAACCGTGAAGTCCTCGCAGCTGAGCTGTGGCATAAAAGTTGCAGTTAGCCCTTTTGTAGGTATGCAAGTTCTAGTTTTACGGTTTGAGTTGGTGTAGCACATCATGCCACACCCGCTCAAACCTTTAATAGCGCCATTCAGGAGCCAAGGCTTCTGACTTAGTGCAATGCCTATCTACATCGCAGCCATGCTTCTGGCTAGTATCGCCGAGGCGCCTTTGCTGTGATGCAAATTAATCTGGGTAACAGAAACCCCTAGCCCGACCATATTGGGTCTAGTCTAGTCGTTGGTTCCTGCGACAGCAGGGTCCTCTTCGTGTCTCTTGGCAAGCAACTTTACAGTTGCTCGAGTAGATCCACAGAAAGACCTGTATCTGCAGGCCTTTAAGGCCTCCAGCGATTCCGCGGCCACAAGGCAGGCAAAGTGGGTACTCGAAGCACCTTCTTTCAGTCCCACCCGAGACCACCCAATCTTCTGGAGCCAGGCCCGCGTTCTGTTTGTCAAGGAGCTCGATTGCTTCTTTGACAGAGAGGTCCGGTTCCTCAACGTGCACCACCACCCGATGTCGCTTAGGCAGCTCATCGGCCGGCAGCACTCGAAGAGGTACGTTTCCTAAACTCAGGTAGGCCGACAGGCTTTTCAGCCAGTCCGATTGCTCGTTTGCGCACGCGAACACAAGTGCTCCGTCCCTAACCCAGGAGTCGGTAAAGGTGGGGGCCCTAGTGCCTTTCTGGACCTCAATTATGCGACCCCTGATCAGCTTTCTAACGCCCGCCACTCCACCGTCCCCCAGTTTCTTGTCAGGGTAGTCATCTGTGACGACGGTTAACCTGATTATTCCTTTTGCAGCCTGGACAAAGGTCCTCTGATCATTGACCCGGGGCCTCTTGTCAGGCTGCCTATTTGAGGGGATGGGAGTGCTCGTGGGCTCCGGCCTAGAACGTTTTTTGCCCTGACCTGCCCCGGCTCCCCCCCCCCTTTTACCTCAGTGTCAGAAACAGTCTCAGGGGGAGTTCTATTGGTCACAGTGACCACCCCTCCGCCTGGATCTGCTTCTGCTTTTTAAAGCGTCGTCTGGCGGCGCTGCTATATCTCACGCGGGTTTTTAGGGGAGCCCCAGAGGAGCTCGCCCCCGCTTCAGAAGATTCCTCCGGTCGTTCGCTTCCTAAGGAAGTCACGTCCTGAAGGACTTTGTTTATGTTAAAATTTGATTCAGTCGTGTCCATTTTGATCTTACGAGTGATGCGGAAAAGCGGTCTCACCCGGTTAGAGCCGCACTACCGGGACTTGGCTGCCTACTCCCAGATTTCGCCCGGTTTCCGGGAGGCACCGTTCAAGACGCAGCGTCCCTTGCGCCATGCAGCTCTCGGCACTGTCGCTTACACCTTAACTTGGGGGGTCCCTCTTCGCCGGTTGCACCCGTTTACGCCCCAAGGAGTGTACCCGGCTGCGACCTTAAGCCCCACCACCACGCCAAGATGGAAACCCATTTGGGGGATCAGAGTACATAGATATGAAAAAAAAATAATGGAAATGACAGAGGAATAGTGGGTTAAAGTGTTTTGGAGAAGAAAAAGAGTTGAATTAGAATGATTTTATAATAGAAATGGTTGGAGCAATGCTATGATGGAAGAAATGTCAGAATCAGCTGAGAATTTTGAAGAGAACATAAGAGAAAGAGAGAAAGATGTGCAAGAACCAATGAAAGATAGTAAAATTAGGGAGGCTAAATATAACAAAAGATATAAAGATATAGAGGTAGTAATTGGTAACCCGAAATACCTTGAAGTAAATTATATGAGCAATATTAAAAATAATTATGGGATAAAGCGCTGGCAAAATTAAGGGGTTAGGCCACTGTAGAAATTTCAAAAAATCGTTTTTTTTTTTTTGCTTAAATGATGCTTTAAGATCTTAGAAATAAAAAAAAAAGGTTTTATAACGGAAACAAATTCCTAAGTGTCATTTTTGGAAGTTACATAAAACTTTAAACGCGTTTTTCTCGAAATCACTTTTTCAAACTGGGCGACCTCATAACTCCCACAAATCTTGACCGATTTACTTCAAATTTAAACTGTAGCTTCTAAGATACATTTGTCAGCGAACTACGTACGGATTTTACGTTCCGTTGTAAACTTTTTTTTTACAAACAATTTTGTGCAAAATTTTTCGTCAAAAATGAAACTTTTTCTTCAAACTTGTGTCATTTTTACAAAAACAATTATTTTTTAATTTCCGTACGTAGTTCGCTAGCTAATGATATAAAGAATTAAAAAAATTTGGTTTTTTGTTCTACAGCAAAAATTGGAGCAGCTAGTAGGTCGCCCGTAAGGCACTGTCCGAAACGAGTGGTCATCGTTGCAGAGCTCTGTCACCGCCATTTTGTAAAAAAAAAATGCAAAAAAATTTTTTTTATATATTTCGAAGTATGTAAGATTAAGTACTTAAAAAGGATTTTCTATCACTGTTTTTGTTTTATAGTAAAAATTATCAAAATAGGCCTTTTTGGGCGCTCTACAGTGGCCTAACCCCTTAAGATGCGGAAATATGGAGAAAGCTAACAGTATTAGAAGGATGAGGAGAGCAGAAGATGTCAATTTTGTAGGAATGGATGGGATTAGTTTAGAACACTTTATTAAAAATTGTGAAATAGCTAGGGACTGGTTTGTGAAATTAGGAGAGAATGAGGAAAGTAGGTTTAATAATATATGCAATGATGAGATAGATAGCATAAAAGATGATGTAATATATAAGTTGTGGAAGAAAAAGAAAAGATTATAAAAGAAAGAAAAAGAAAAATATGATCCTCAGAGAAATTTTGATGAATTTGGTTAATCTTTATTAATCTTTATTAAAAAAAAAAAAAAAAAAAAAAAAAGATAGTATGCGCAAAAATATAAGTAAAAGAATATAGTTTTATATATGTATGTAAGTTAATTAATTTAAGAGTTTATTTAATATTCTGATATTGTAATGTTTTAATGTATTTTAATGTGTTAATATTTTAATGTTCTAATGTTGTAATGCGGTAATATAGTAATATAGTAATATTTTTAATGTTTTAATATTTTAATTTTTTTATATTTTGATATTTTAATATTGATATTAATAGGTTAATAGTGATAGAGGGTAGAATATGAATGTGTATATAGGGTAGAATATGAATGTATAATTGCAAGATCAATTGATATGTTATGTTCAAAACGCATAATAGAATATTATACGCGAATAGAATATTCCAGATTATTCTAGACAGGTCGATATTGAAATTCACAACAAATAGTTTCATCGTTTTTTCTATGTTTTGTAAAGAAAAAAACCGCGTCATAATCAATCTGTCATTAAAAACCTATCAAAATATAAACAATTAACAGTTCGTAACCGTTTCCGCCGAATTATTATATTACAACGAGCATGCGCGGCTTCTCATGGGCGCCTCAATTCACCAATAATTACCGCGATCGCCCGCTCGCGCATGCTTTCTTCCAGCCTTCGTTTCGTCAATTATAACAGCGGCCAATTACGAGTAATGCGCTCAGGTCACCTCGCGCAATATTCAAAATACTCGAAATTATTGGCGCTTCACGCGAGAGTGGGCTCCGTCCTGAAACTATAAGGAGGAGCTCACACCCGGCTTGTCAGCCTTATCGCATTCCGCCGAGAACCGCATAACGCAAATCCGCTAAATAGTTAAACCGCAAAATTCGTTGACGACCGCCGCTTATTCCATACTCTGATTTTCGATTACGTTTTTCTGTAAAATAATTAACGTTTGTAATAAGTATTGTTCAAGTGTATTTTGTCATTACGTGTGTGTTGAAAATTAAATTCTTTTATACAAAAAGTGACTTATCCTTTTTGTGTCCGCGATCTTCTCTCACGCAGCGCGTTCGTGAACATGTATAATACTTTATAAATTTGTAATTTTGTAAATTAGTGCAGTTTTATGGATTATTAAGAGTTTAACTAGGCTCTGTAATATATAATATAAATTTAACATATATAAGATAGGCAATAAGAGCCAAATCGCGGATGACAGTGCGTTATTCTAAACGAAACTAAATTTTTTCGTTAGAATTAAATACCTGTGCACAAGGCACCAAATTTTTACTTGGACACGGCCAAGATATAAAATTGGAATAATCTCTACAAGAGATTTTTAATTCCATGTATCCCCTATTCCCCCTAAAGAATTAAGTGCGAGAGAAAATATAGATCCGAAAGTCGCAGAATCGGGAATCGAACCCGAGACCTTTCGCTTGCCGGGCGACTGCTCTTCCAACTGAGCTATTCAGATCCTTTCGATTCTATACTTTTCTCTGTTATATATATTAATGTTGGTAAATAAACGCCTTTAAGCCAGCGTGTATAAATTAAGAGTTTAACTAGGCTCTGTAATATAAAATATAAATTTAACATATATAAGATAGGCAATAAGAGCCAAATCGCGGATGACAGTGCGTTATTCTAAACGAAACTAAATTTTTTCGTTAGAATTAAATACCTGTGCACAAGGCACCAAATTTTTACTTGGACACGGCCAAGATATAAAATTGGAATAATCTCTACAAGAGATTTTTAATTCCATGTATCCCCTATTCCCCCTAAAGAATTAAAGTGCGAGAGAAAAATATAGATCCGAAAGTCGCAGAATCGGGAATCGAACCCGAGACCTTTCGCTTGCCGGGCGACTGCTCTTCCAACTGAGCTATTCAGATCCTTTCGATTCTATACTTTTCTCTGTTATATATATTAATGTGGTAAATAACGCCTTTAAGCCAGCGTGTATAAATTAAGAGTTTAACTAGGCTCTGTAATATATAAATATAAATTTAACATATATAAGATAGGCAATAAGAGCCAAATCGCGGATGACAGTGCGTTATTCTAAACGAAACTAAATTTTTTCGTTAGAATTAAATACCTGTGCACAAGCACCAAATTTTTTACTTGGACACGGCCAAGATATAAAATTGGAATAATCTCTACAAGAGATTTTTAATTCCTGTATCCCCGGTTCCTGGTAAAGTAATTAAAGTGGTAAAAATATAGTCCGTAAGTCGGGAATCGGGAATTGAACCCGAAACCTTTCGCTTGCCGGG